GTCAGAACTGCATCTCACTTCCGCAGACACTAAAGTTTAACTCATACTGGAATTGTTCTTCCTTGTCACTGACCACTAGACATATAATCATGTATCACTGCATACAGCCTTGTAAAGTACTACTTTATGACAGTGAAGTGGACTTTCTAAAGGGACTTATCTTTGTTTTGAGTGTATGAAAACACATTTAAAATGTATCACTAAAGCAAACTATCAATCCCATTAAGAAATTCTAGTGGATGACTATATTTCCTGGCTCTATTTTCCTGCCTGCAGATGGACAGCTGCCAAGAAGACAACAAGGACACTATTCTAAGCAAAATGTGCAAATGTGGTGCCACACAAAAAAATATGTCACACTTTGAATCCTTACTGTACTTTTAAAGAATGGATTTCTTCTACCTGCCATTCTGTATTACTTCAGAGCATCTATGGATTAACTTCTCAGTAATGCATGATACCCAAAACCTTTCCAAACCACCCTGTAGCTCTTCCTACCTCTTGCTAATACCCTTATCATGATTCCAACTTATGAATACATGTTATATACACTATCAGCTGACATGCATTAATCACCAGGTTGACCAAATGGCTCCAAGCTGAAAGACTCACTTGTTAGTAAAACAAACAAACAAACACCCTCAATGACTAATAGGAGTTAAACTTGGGCAGGAGATGGGTGACTCCTCCAAGAATGATAGAGTATGACTGTGAGTTAAATCCTATGAGGTGAGGCACACATCTTCATACAACATGTTGGTCTCTACTAAATAATAACAAACAATGACAGGAAGCAACAGATCAATGGTGTCTATGACACACATGAGGTGAGAAATTTGCAGGCTCAGTAACCTAGATACAAAGGTACTAGTCCTCTTCCTGGAACCTTTTTAAAAAGTTTAATGAAAAATCACCAACATGGCGACATGCTGTTAAACTTTTCTGGTGTCAGGAACCACTCAATAAATTCACCTTCTTGCAACAAGAAATAGAAGGAAGCTGATCAACCACGAGTGGTAGGAAACATTACCTCAAGCCAGGAACTTCATCTGCAGGAACAAAGAGACCCTAAACATGCCTCAGATCTGCAAAACGCTGTGGAAATGAGATGCAACATGGGAGAAAGCGGGGCACGCAGAGCCACCTCTGCCCCACTCACAGTCTCCCCTCCCCTCTGTGAGGAAGCCTCAGTGGTTACAGCTCCGTGATGGAAAGACAGCCTGGCAACACAGCTTTTACTGAAAACTTCTTTCTTAACCAAAGCTGATTTTTGTCAACCAACAGATGTTATTTTTAACCAGAAGCTTTTTTCTTTATTAACAAATTAGAGCAAACACCACATTTGTGTAGCTGGAAGGGCAGAGACCATGTTGACAGCTCAGAAAAAAAAATAATTTATGTGCTGAGTTCCTTTTATTCACTCATAATGAAATAAGTCAGACTTTGAATTTTTAACAGTGCCTGGTTGTTTCAAGCATCTTCATGAGGCCCTTTTCTACTTTTGTGAGCTTTCTCAAATGACTAATTATGCCTGGAAAGGATGCCTCTAGCATTCTCCATAACAAAAAGAAGTACCAGATGATGCGCTTCTGGAACCAATGGCCAAAGCTCACATTCACTAAATAATTACAGGCAGAAACAGCTTAATATCCGAAATGGAGCCAGCCTTCCTAAACCACTCCATCTTTTCAGAAAGGATGTCTACCCCGCTTTCCTGATACATCATAGCTATTTCTAGAATAAACTCAGCATGCACTAATCTCCTTTCCCTCAGAACAACAGTGAATCAAATAACCCATTTATTCATATTTAGCAGCTTTGGAGAATGTGGCTAAGCTGCACCTTTCACAGTGTATTCACGAGGATCACAAACCACCACAACTAACTACACTGCATTTGGCTACCACCAGAAAGCAATTAGACTAGTGGGAACTAGCAGGAGCTCTGTCTCAGTCCTGTGAATGACTGTTTTTAAATGGTTCTAAAAAATAAGTACAAACTATTTTTCTTAGGCAAGTAATTATTTATAACATAATATATATTAACTTACAGTATGATAAAAGGGTAAACATCTTGTTACTTTGGAGTACTAAAGAACCATTTGCCTTAGATATACAACTCAAGACCAAAAAATTATAAAGAAATCTAGGATTTTTAATGTACTTCATGGGAGAGGCCTAAACATTTTTTTCTCGCCCATTCTAAGTATCTCCCTAGGCTCTCCCTAAAATCTGGCCTCAAAGTCAGAAATCTGCATTCATTTCTAGCACTGATAGTCTTCCCTTTGCCTCTATCTTTCACCTATAAAGTGATAGTAACAATATTTACCCCACATTTAGCTCAAAAATGAGTGGGCAGCAGCCTACCAAGTTCTCAAACATCACAGACCACATTTTGTTTGCTTTCACACAAATGGTATAAAGGCCTGCCTAGACTGACATCTGACATCTACCCACTCAGCTGATAGCCTTACAGCTTCAAGAAAAGGCTAAAACAAATGGATCAGTAACAATAAGCAGAAAAATGTGTGAAGCTACACAAGGGATCTCTAGAGCCACGCTTCTAAACAGGTGCCCGGCAGTCAAGCCGCTTACTAGGAACACTGATGCAATGATAATATTGGAGTATCTTTCCTCCACTTTTAACAGGAAAGATGGTCATAGAAGATCAGACTGTCCTGTTGTCTCCATGCAGTGTGACAGAGTAGTACTCACTTTGAAGCCTCTCCTGGAAGGCAGACCAGTCCTTAGCAATGACCATCACACTCCTTAGGAGATTTCCTTTATTGGATCTCACAGGATGTACCCATGGTAAATGGCCTCAGATTGCAACTAAAATAATGAATGTAACTCCTGTCTCCACGATTACAGCCTTTACTGGTTTTCAGGACAGCAAATAAATGACTATTTGCTCAGAAAATGTTAACATGCAAGGATATATTTATTGCCTTGACACAGTTTTCTAATATTACTGAATTATACTCCCTTGGATAGTGTGGCTTCTCTCATTAATTAAAATGATGCTCTATTTCACCCCTAAATGAAGACCACCCTCTCAGACCAAAGGAAAAAGAATCAGCCAAGCAAGAAAAGACTACAAAAGGGACACAAAAATGACTCCGATTCTCTACTCAATGCATATGTACTTTGTGAGGCAAAAAGGCCTTTTAAAATAGTTTTTTTATTTGCAGTCTCTAAAGAAAAATAGTCATAAAAATGAAAAGGCAACAGCAATTTTCTTTAACACTCCCTGGCATGTTTTTTTTTTTTCTTTCAAGCCTCAGTAAAGTTAGTCTAAAAAGACATAAATAAAGCTAGCTGCTGGGGCCTGAGCTGGCCTCCAGCCCTAGCCCTGCCTGAGTCAGCGGTTTGCCAGGTGATTGCTCAGCTAGAACTGCAAGGATCTGCTGGACCATTTTCAAGCAAAAAGCTAAGTTACAGAAAACACAAATCATGATAATCCCATTAACTGAATAAGCTATGATCATCTCCTTTCCACTGTTGTTTTTCCAAAGATTGCCCTATATGTCATCCCTATTTGTGCCTAAGAAATTAAACATTGGGTAAAAAAGCATCCACTAACAATGGCCTGAATTGAGAGACCCAAAGGAAGCTTTCTCTCTCCTAAGTTTCCTTCTACCCTGGCTCAAAACAAAGCATGAGCTTCTTGCCACTGTTGGTTAATAATCATGCTCTAAAGATCTGAGCTCCCTAAGGAGGATTCGCTGACCTTGGCATTCACAGAAGGAAAAGGAAAGGACAGGAGAGAGACACAGTCATCTTCCCCTGCCCTGGGACCTAAAGAAAGCACACCCACCCAAAGTTCTATCATATGGTAATTTCCTAATGTCAGACCAAGCACCAGTTTCTCTTTAAACTTTTCCTCAGCACAAGTTTAAGTGAAGCATTAACTTGTTTTAAAATAATTGCAGCCTTAAGTCAAGCTTCCTGAAGTCCAGGGAGCACAGCATCAAAGGAGCAAAGAGGATTCCAGGTCCTGCGCGGTGCCACAGGAACAGGGCCACAGCTCTGGCCATGCGCTTTCTTGCAATATAAAATGGATGTGGCAACCTTGTAACCGCATTCATTAGTTGGAATTGTTTTATCCTATTTTGTTTGATTTTGTTATCTATGATAGTATAAACAGCTATTTTAAAGAAAAGAAGACATTAGAATAGCCAGAGCTGACTTAGTAATCATCTTACTCTGAAGTCCTACATGCTTTTGTTTTTTTGTTGCCTTTGGTTCTATCCTGTTATCTTATTGGATAGTATTATGTGTGATAGTATAAACAAATTTTCTATGGAAAATGAGATAATAGAGTAGCCATTGTTCATTCTCTGCTACTTGGTTCTGAAAGCCCTGTAATGCTTTCATTCTCTTAAATGGTTTGATACTGTTTGTTATGCTTGATACTATCACATATGAAGCTATGCTCAACTATTTCAAAGAAAGAGACACTATGGTAGTTATTGTTAATTATGGGTTGTCTTGTGGTAAAATGCTGTGTTACTTGCATTGTTCTGATCTGATCTGCTTTGTTATGTCCTCTTTTGTCTTAATCTCTTTAAAATAAAAATTTTTTTTAAAAAAAAAGATCCTTGTAACTATAAAGCGTGCAAGCTTTGGTGTGAAGCCTAGAGATTTTTAGAGATGTGCATATATATGAAATGTATGCATGAACCTAGGACCATTTTCCGATGAGACACTGAGTGCATAAATGAAAGCAACAGTTACCACCACACCATTTGCTATGGATAGACTTCATTGGTTAAATCTGGATACTACAGCTTGCATGGTAAAAGATATTTACAAATATTAAATAGAATAAGTCATGAGAAACTAGTCCATTCCTCCATAAATTATAGTCAGATTCTCCCCTTAATTCCATCCACTCCTCCAGCAGCCTGGAGGTCCCCTCAGTCTGTGGCGGTCCAGGCCTGTGAGGCAGGGCCTTTCCCATGCACATCCCACAGGCTGCAGCAGCTGGGAGCAGCTTACCTCGTGGGCACAGGGACCTCAGTCAGGGCACCCAGCATGACCGCCTGCTGCAGCCGGACAAAGGCGATGAAAGGGGCATCCAGGAAGTCGACTTCCCCCACAAGCACATTGGAAGCTTCTGCGTCCCGCGGCAGCTTTTTCATGAACTTATTCTTCAACTGCATGAGAAAAGTCAAGCAGACAAGATTTATTTACAGAGAGGGAAACAAGAAGAGAAACCAGGTGTCTCACAGAGTTCTCTTTCTTGGCGTCTTTGCACAACAGTCTGTAGCTAGCCACAATTACACCATGTTAAACAGAGCATCAAAGTAAGCATATAGCTTTGCCCTAGATTTAAAAAAATCGAGGATGGCTCATGTATAGAACAATGCATAATATAATAATTCCCTCCATCGATTTATTCACTTATTCAGCAAAAGCTTATCATGCAGCTATTTTAAGAGCCTGGCAGTGATGAAATCCAGAGAAACTGAGGCAGACAGGCTTGTTACCAGCCCTGCCTGAGCTCAAGTTTCTATAAGTGGGGGATAAAGTGCGACTTAAACACACAGGAGAAACAGTTGGTCAGAGGGCACTATCTTCAAGTATGGTAGGCAGGGGGACCTCTGAAGAAACATGTGTGCGGGGTGCCAGCACATGGACAGCTGACAAAGAGCACACCAGGTGGAGACCAGGATGAGCCAGGCTTCCAGCCGGGATGGAGGCTGCCCTAGGGGAGCACTGGGAAGTCTGTCATGGTAGCAGCTGGACCAGGGAGCTCAAGAGGAAGAAAAAAGCCAAGGAAATGAGGGTGAGGGGAGCCAGGCACAGTGCCCTGGGCCTGGTTAAGGGCTCTGAAGTTTCAGGTGGGAGATGACAGCAGAAGGTGGACAGGAAAACAGTTCTGGAGACACTACCGTAGCCCAAGCCCACAGGTGGGGAACACAGCCATTAGTGCAAGTGCAGAGCAAAGGGGTGAAAGCATACCCTGCATCACTCTGCCTCTCTTCTCCTCCGAGTAGGAGGCCACATCAGGAAGAGCAGCACAGCAAGAAAAGGAAAACCACAGAGGAAAAGGGTGTTGACTAAGTCCAAGACTGCTGCAAATTGAAATAAGATGAGAGCTAGGAACAAACAAGGGATGCTGGCAAGATGGCGGTGCCCGGGAGCTTGAACTGGCCTGCACAGAGGACAGCAGGGTGCAGAGCAAACCAGGACAAGTGTGGCAGTGGACTCAGGGAGAGAGATCATGACTGAGAAACACTGCTACCATGCAGAGAGGAGAGAGGGAGGGCAGCAGATGAAGGCACAAAAAATGGGGGTTTAAGCTGGGCCCCGCAACCTTTTGGTAAAGAGGATGATCTGGTAGGAAGAGTAACGTTTTCCAAGAAATGTAAGGAACAATGGAAAAGCAGCCCAGGCAGCCTCGAACTACTGGGATAATGCCCACAGCACCATGGAAGGATCAGATTCCAGCAGGAGCCTGTCAGCCTTCTTAGTTCCGAGGTGGGGTGGAGGGTCAGCCCAGCTAAGGACACAGACATCAGCACGACATTCAGGCACGCTGCCCCAGGAGCATGCGCGGAGAGCAGAGCAGGTGTCAGGCAACTTCTTGGAGTAAGGACTGCGTAACACAGCCTCTCTGAGGCCCTTATTCTTTCACACAACTCAAGCAAAATACTTTGGTAATCATGGAAAGACAAAGAATTTTGCAAGACCATATTAAAATACAGATTTCTGATACACAGTTATCACCCAGAGCTTAATATTTTCTGCACAGATTACTCCTAAAATGGGCAGTGGCAGGCACGACCCAATTCCCTTCATTAATAAGAATATTATACCGACATTTCACTTTCAGCCGTCACTGAAGAGACCCCAGGTCTCCATCACCCTCAGGAACATGTCTGTAAGGTTGTTTTCTTCACTTTGGTACTGCAGATAACAAGAAAGCTATTTGTGCAGGGCACACAGATCAGATCAGCGTCACAGTGCCTCCCTGGCAAGCACAAAGTCCTCATCTGACTCCCAGTACAAAAAGAAAGAAAGAAAGAAAAACTATGTGACAAAAATCAAGACAGTGTCTTAGAAAGTGTCAAGAAAGTCTTAGAAAGACTAGGGATTTAGTGGAAGCTAGCAAATAAAATAAAAGCACGCCCACTTTTAAGTAGTATGGAATTCTCCATAATTTTTACTATTAATCCTTTATAAATGCAGATATCCTAAAAATTCATTTTTAGTTTTTACACATGAAAATAGCAGCTATAGAAGGGTCTAAAATCATAAGTTGTCAAAACTGTTGTGATCACTTAAGGAGTTACACAAAGGAATATGTAGGGTACAGCCATGTGGTACAGATACATGCAAAACAATATCCCCAAACTTTCTCCAAAGCGGCCTTCCACTCCCAACACAGAGCACAAAACTGATCATCTCACCCACCTTCCCTTCTCTACAGCAGACTCCTTGCTCCAGGTAGACAGCTGATCTGACTATAATCCTCTTCTGTTTCATGTACTTAATTCTCATCCTCACTGTCCAAAGTTACCCTTTTTCTATTTCCACCTTTTCTAAACATCCTTTAGAGCTGAGCTACGATACCCTGCCATCGCCACCCACTTCCTCGGGAACTACAGGGCTCCATTCTCAATCATACCTTAATCTTTCCCCACTTCTCGTGAGGTTGAAGCAACATATCCCAGGTGGTTACACACTTACACAAAGTGTCTAACTAGTACTACACTATCTTTACTGAGACTAACAAACCCATACCAGCAAGGTATTTATAAGGCTGAAGAATATGAACTAACTTCTGCACGCTCTGAAGAATGCTGTGAAGGCATGTTCTTTTAGTTTAGTGTATTTAAAACTTTGTGAGATCTAGTGTTCTGAGAGAAACTAACATACATGCTGAAGTAAATGTGCTTAGTGGCTAAAGTGCCCCAGAACTCTGTCCTTAGGATATACTGTTCCTCTCTGCACAGTCTCTGCTGGTGACCTCTTTGAGTCTCATCCTTTAAACACTACCTACTGTACTGATGACTCACACATTCTATGTGTGAGGCCAGAACCTCTGCCCTAAACTCCACACCTAAAACATCTCCACTTGGGGTTCTAATATATATTCCAAATTTCATATGCATAAAGTGAGCCTTTCCGAGATCCTCTGATACCTGTAGTCTTCCTTTTCTGGTGAATGCAAAACCCTTGCTGTCATTGTCAACTCTTCTCTTTTGTCCATACCCTACATCCACTGCATCAGCAGATTCTGCTGGATCTGCACTGATACATCCAGAGTCCAGCTGGATGGATCCAGTATTGTGGCCACCACCCTGGTACACACAATGATCACTTCTGGATCACAGCACTGGTTTCCCACCTGGCCCCCATCCCAGTCTATTCTCCAAAGCAGCCAGAGCAGGCAATTAGGAGTCAGATTGTATTCTTCCTGTTTCTGCCTTCCATAGGCTGCTATGTCAGTAGTGGAGCCAAGGTCTTTACTACAACCTGAACCCAACCTACCACCCACAAGCTACCCTGTGGTGCCGCATCCCTGACTCACTGCTGACCCCATCTGCTGGTCTGTCTTTGACCACTACTCCAGCTGCCCATCCTCTCTCTGTCGCTCCCAGCACACGCACTTGGGTCCCACACACTGCATCCTCTGGAGGAGGTCTGCATAGCCTCTCCCTCACGTCTTCCACTGTTTACATCACTTTCTCAGCAGAGGTGCTTTCCCCAGGCACTCAGGTTAAAATTCCAGCTCCAATCTCCTCATAAATACTTCCTACTCCTCCTGCTTCCTTTTTTCTGCTCACACCTATACCATCAAACACATCATACGTGCTAGTGGTCTCTGATATTGTCTGCCTCCTCATTGAAATACAAGTTCGCTAGAGGCAGATACAGCTATCTGATTTGTTGAGTGTTCTGTCCCTGCTGTCTACAAAACTGCTGAAAAGAATGGTTCGATGGTTCGATGAATTTGTTGCTGAGTGAGTGAATGGATGAATGGGGGTTATTTTCCTGCTCTTCTCAATCAACCTCCTTAACTTCCTCTTACCACAGGCATTCTGTGCATCTCACCCAGACCACAAAGTGGATGAAAGTCACAGATAGGGTCATGCTTTCAAACTCCGCCTCTGAGAAGAGTCACTGCATAAAAGGGTGGATGGGTAACCCACAGACACCCAATGCTTTGGGAAAATTTGGTATTTAGTTGTGTAAAGGAGTTGCTTCTCAAAGGGATACCAGGCTAGACTGTGTGCAGCTAGCTGTATGAACACTCTGTAAAGAAAAAGGCTTTTGCCAACTTTGGCTTCAGAGAAGTGGATTTTAAGTAACTGTCTGCGGAGCTGGAATCACTACATCGTTTGGCTAGCTCAGCAATTTTGTGAACTTACTTTGTTTTTATTTTTGCTTATATCTTTAACAGCTTGTGACACAAGCTCTTTGAATCTCCATGTTCACATTTCAGGTTCTTTTTATACTGTTCTCTCTTGGGCAGAAAGGTCTCACAGTAAAGACTTAGAATCATACAGCTTGTCCTCCACCATGAATGTTTTATCATTTCTTAACCTCCCTTACTTTCTGAATCCAGTGATCTGACAGTATTACCGTGCCAAGAAACTAGAATTTTGAATGGATAAAGCACAATAAATGAACTATTGTAAAAGAGGTAGCTTACTTTAGATGACAGTTCTATTTGATGTTGAGAAACTTATTCATACCCAAGTGATGTGCATACATAAAGCTAACTTAAAAAGTCAGTCTTCCACTCTCCATCTGGATCTCAGATTCTCCCCCTCGTCTGTGAAAGTCGTTTGCGTATTTTAAGCTTTACATACAGGCCCATCACAGTGTGGCTGCTGGTCAGTCTTAACTAGCCAATACCACCACTTGATTATACTGTTCTATTCTGATGACCCTCAGCCGTCTCCGCAGACCCTTAGCCTTGCCTACTAAGTAGGTCTAAGCAATCATATATCCCTCTGATACTAGTCAGGTATTTAGATTCTTCTCCCTTATTTCACCATTATTAACACATTAAAATAATTGCATATATAGTATTAAGTATTATTTCTAAGCAAAAGCACACAGGCTTTGTCCTTTGAATCTGATTCATGAGAATATGAGCCTGCTAACTACTCGATACACTTACTTACAAGTGGTATTTAAA